CAACATAGGAGCACCTACATATGTGAAACAAATACTAACAGAATTAACAGGGGAAATAGAAGGCACTGCATTCATTCTGGGAGACTTCAACACTCCACTCACTCCAAAGGATAGATCCACCAGGCAGAAGATAAGCAAGGAGACAGAGGCACTGAACAACACACTAGAACAGATGGGCCTAACAGACATCTACAGAACTCTACACCCAAAAGCAGCACAATACACATTCTTCCCAAGTGCACATGGATTATTTTCAAGAATAGATCATATACTAGGCCACAAAAAGAGCCTCAATAAATTCAAAAAGATTGAGATTGGGCCAACCAGTTTCTCAGACCACAAAGGTATGAAACTAGAAATAAATCATGCAAAGAAAATGAAAAATCCCAAACACATGGAGGCTTCACAAAATGCTCCTAAATAACCCATGGATGAATGACCAAATAAAAGCATAGATAAAGCAATATATGGAGACAAATGACAAAAATAATTCAACACTGCAAAAATCTGTGGGATGCAGTCAAGGCTGTGCTAAGAGGAAAGTATGTCGCAATACAGGCCTACGTCAGGAAGAAGAACAATCCCATATGAGCAGTCTAAACTCACAATTAATGAAACTGGAAAAAGAAGAACAAATGAGGCCAAAAGTCAGTAAAAGGAGGGACATAATAACGACTAGAGCAGAAATAAAATTGAGAAGAATAAAACAATAGAAAGAATCAGTGAAAGCAAGAGTTAGTTCTTCGTGAAAATAAACAAAATAGATAAACCCCTAGCCAAACATATCAAGAAAAAAAACAGAGTCTAAATACATTGCCACGGCAATCAGACAACACGAAGAAATAAAAGGCATCCAGATTGTCAAGGAAGAAGTTAAACTGTCCCTGTTTGCAGATCACGTGATACTGTACATAAAACCCCTAAAGAATCCATTCCAAAACCCCTAGATATAATAATTTAATTCAGAAAAGTTGCAGGATACAAAATTAATACACAGAAATCTATGTCATTCCTATACACTAACAATGAACTAGCAGAGAGAGAAATTTGGAAAACAATTCCAGTTACAGTTGCATTAAAGAGAATAAAATACCTAGGAATAAACCTAACCAAGGAAGTGAAAGACCTATACTCTATAAAGTACAAGACACTCATGAGAGAAATTAAAAAAGATAAAAATAAATGGAAACATATCCCATGCTCATGGATAGGAAGAATTAATATTGTCAAAATGGCCATCCTGCCTAAAGCAATCTATAGGTTCAATACAATTCCTATCAAAATACCAACAGGATTCTTCAACGAACTAGAGAAAATCATCCTAAAATTCATATGGAACCAAAAAAGACCCCGAATAGCCAAAGCAATTCTGAGAAAGAAGAATAAAGCAAAGGAAATTACACTCCCCAACTTCAAGCTCTAGTACAAAGCCACAGTAATCAAGACAATTTGGTACTGGCACAAGAACAGACCCACAGACCAGTGGAACTGAATAGAGAGTCCAGATATTAACCCAAACATATATGGTCAATTAATATAAGATAAAGGAGCCATGGACATACAATGGGGAAATGACAGTCTTTTCAACAGCTGGTGTTGGCAAAACTGGACAGCTACATGCAAGAGAATGAAACTGGATCACTATCTAACCCCATACACAAAAGTAAATTCGAAATAGATCAAAGACCTGAATGTAAGCCATGAAACCATAAAACTCTTAGAGAAAAACAGGCAAAAATCTCTTGGACATAAACATGAGCAACTTCTTCATGAACATATCTCCCCAGACAAGAGAAACAAAAGCAAAAATGAACAAGTGGGACTATATCAAGCTGAAAATCTTCTGTACAGCAAAGGACACCATGAATAGAACAGAAAGGTACCCTACAGTATGGGAGAATATATTCATAAATGACAGATCTGATAAAGGGTTGACATCAAAAATATATAAAGAGCTCACGCACCTCAACAAACAAAAAGCAAAAACTCCAATTAAAAAATGGGCAGAGGATCTGGACACTTCTCCAAAGAAGAAATTCAGATGGCCAACAGACACATGAAAAGATGCTCCACATCGCTAGTCATCAGAGAAATGCAAATTAAAACCACAGTGAGATATCACCTCACACCAGTAAGGATCACCACCATCCAAAAGACAAACAACAACAAATGTTGATGAGGCTGTGGAGAAAGGGGAGCCCTCCTACACTGCTGGTGGGAATGTAGGTTAGTTCAACCATTGTGAAAAGCAGTATGGAGGTTCCTCAAAAAACTAAAAATAGAAATACCAGTTGACCCAGGAATTCCACTCCTAGGAATTTACCCTAACAATGCAGTAGCCCAGTTTGAAAAAGACAGATGCACCCCTATGTTTATCTCAGCACTTTAAAATAGCCAAGAAATAGAAGCAACCTAAGTGTCCATCAGTAGATGAATGGATAAAGAAGATGTGGTACATATACACAATGGAATATTATTCAGCCATAAGAAGAAAACAAATCCTACCATTTGCAACAACATGGATGGAGCTAGAGGGTATTATGCTCAGTGAAATAAGCCAGGCGGAGAAAGACAAGTACCAAATGATTTCACTCATATGTGGAGTATAAGAACAAAGAAAAACTGAAGGAACAAAACAGCAGCAGACTCACAGAACCCAAGAATGGACTAACAGTTACCAAAGGGAAAGGGACTGGGGAGGATGTGTTGGAAGGGAGGGATAAGGGTGGGGGGAAGAAAGGGGGCCTTATGATTAGCATGTATAATGTGGTGGGTGCACAGGGAGGGCTGCACAACACAGAGAGGACAAGTGGTGACTCTATAGCATCTTACTATGCTGATGGACAGTGAGTGTAATGGAGTATGTGGGGGGGACTTCGTGACTGGGGAGTCTAGTAAACATAATGTTCCTCATGTCATTGCAGATTAATGATACCAAAATAAAAATAAATAAATAATTAGTGGCAGTAAATAATAAGTTATATTACTCTAAAAAATACTAATTCTAGTATATTTTTATAATTGTTTATTGTTAGATGATAGGAAAGATAGTTTTACAATCACAAATTAGCAAGAGTTTGGCAAAAATCAATGAAAGTATTCTGTAAGAATTAATAGGCTGTGTGGAATTTATAATACAGAGTATTGCATATTTTATTATTTTTTTGTAAACTGTTTGTTATAATGGAGAAGACAATTAATGACTCTGTAACATCTTACTATGCTGATAGACTGCCCACAACAGAGGTGGTGAGGACTTGACAGTACGGGTGGATGTTGAAACCACTGTGTTGTTATTGTGAAACCATGATAAGATTGTGTATCAATGATGGTTTAATAACAAAATTGTTTGCTATACTTCCTTTATATCAGTAAAATTCATAATAAGCATATATGTATATATGCAGTTTCTTTCCCAGGAAACGAGTTCTTAACCATTTATCAGAATCCCGCTGGTGAGGTGTGACTGTGTTGATTAGTCTGAGCCAAAGGGAACCCTGAATTCCTTGTCAGTAACTGATTCAGGAATGGATAGATCTAAGCCAACTGGGCCAATGGAACAGAAGAGGTTTTCTGGGGAATTCTAAAAAGAAATTTCCTTGCTGTTTGGTGAGAACCCCAGGAAGCCAGCTCCTCCCACTTGTTGCCGACAAGGAGGCGTATGGCCCTGAGTACAGTGGCAGCCACAGTGTGACCATAAGAGCCATCCTTGGAATGAAGCTGAGTCTGTGGGCAGCAGAGCAGAGAAATGGAAAGAACCTGCTGATGACATCTTTTAATTACTGGGTCACCCAACGGCAGATCTACCCTGCTTCTGGGCTTGTTGATCAAGCCAACTCATTTCCTATTCATGCCACTTTTACCTGGCTTCCTATTAGCTCAAAGCACTCTGGCGATACACAAGGATGGAGCAAGAAATATGAAGTGCCAGCTAGTTACCAGCACACAGAGGCTCCCCTCCCCTCCACTCAACCCAGGTGCACACATGGAAACTAGCCTCTGGCCCCAGCCCTCGCCCTCCACACTCACAGGCCACATTTGAAACTTTTTCTCTCTTAAAAACCCAACCCCCCTCTTTGTGAGTCCTGTCTAGCTCGTGGGGAATTCTCCATGCCTGGTTTATCTGAGCCCCACCACGTACTGCCTTCTGTGCTTTCCTGAGTCTACGTCCATCTCCCCAGCTGGAGCGAAACCCGTCAGGGCATGACTATTCTGCGTGCATCCGCCAGGTTTCTCTGCTCGTTTGGCTCAAAGCTGCTCCCTTCGTAATGTTCAGGCAGTACTTGATGACAGACCTACTGGACTTTACTCTTTTCTCCCTTGCTTTTTGCAAGTAGCAGGCACTAGGAATTCAGCCGAATGAGATTCCTTCAACAGCAAATGCAGTGTTATTATTTTGTTCTGAAGGTCTTTACAAGTGTAAGGCATGTCTAAAGTGCCTATAAATAATTTATATCATCCATAACTCAAGCTGATCAAAATAGACCTCATCATGGTGACGCAGCAAAATCTTGTTCAGGCTGCTTTGCTACTGCCTCCAAACCAATTACACATTCAGAGCAGATGAAATCTGCTGGGTTCCCTTCTGAATCGGATTAATGCCCCATCCGCAATCACATGAATCACAATCTGTCCATCAGATAATCCAAGTGGACAAGAGGTGACAACCCAGATTCTATTATCTCATTTATTATCTATTTTTGGAGTTCGCTGGTAACTCTAGCCTCGAAGATGTTTTCCAGTGAAAGAGGATACCCTCTATATGTTCTTTGGCAAAATTGCTGTTGATGAGTTTTGACTAGAGCCAAGCATTTGGTGTGATTTATAATTTCTACTTTGTTTCAGGGTGATGAATAGACAAAATAGGACAGGAGTCTATGCTTCTTGTTATGAGAAAAAAAACATTCATAGTTTCTTATGAATGTGTGCTAGAAAGAATAAAAGACAGCCTTCAAAGCCTTTAAAAGATTATGACATACTTTATGAAGAGCCACCCTCACCTTTGAGGATAAATGATAAATTGTTTTCCATTTGCTTCAGAATCATAAAGGAAAGCCTCTGTGATTGGTAAAAGGGACACAAAGTCCCCAAGGTTGCAAAAGCTTGAACTCACACACAATTGTGCTGGATGCAGGAGATTAGAATATATTTCAGTTTTCCTGGTGGGGAAATAAATGAAAAAATAGGCATTATTAACGTTCAGTTCAAACTGACCTCTGACAGCTGACAGTTCCTCTAATTTGAATCTAGAAATACTACTAAAGGAAAATGCTAGGACCACAGGAGTCAGGGCAGGTCTAATTCCATGCCCACATTCACCCACTGCTGGGCACAGGAGCTCCGTAGACCAGCAGAGAAAACCTGAACTCTGCCTCCCCAGGATGACACAGTTCACACAGCAGGATTGTTCCTGGCAATAGTGGTGACTGCATCTCACTGCAGATGTGTTTTTCAGTATATTTAACAAGTAAGTCACAAATGAGTGGTATTCTTTTCTCTTGGATTACAAATCGAAATCTTACCTTCCTCCATGTAAATGGTTGAGATGAACTGATCACTACCCACCCGTTCTCCCAACCCAGCCTTCCTCCCGACCTGCCCGTCTCTAGGGAGGGTGAGGAGCCCACCACAAGATCCACATGCACACCTTCTTCCTTTGACCCTCCCCCCACCTCGCCCCCATCTCCTCCTGATTCGTGTCCTTGTTGCCTTTTGCCTCACTTTACTCACCCACACGTTAATCTTTCCGTACACAGAACAACTATGTTTGTGCCACTTTCCCTCTGAATCTCTTGAGCATCGCAACAGGACCGCACAGTTCCCCTTTGCCAAGAGAATGCCCTCAGAACTCCTTGGCCTGGCCCATGGGGACTTCTCCCCGTCTGACCCAGATTCGCTTGTGCTGTTTCCTCCACGTCTATCCAGCCATGTGAACCTGCCTTGGGTGGCTGTGGGGTCTCCTTGTGTTTATGGCTTTGCTTGTGCCGCTCTCCATATTAATTCCTGCTCCAGCTTCTCCCAACTGCTCATATTTCCCCCAAAATGAGCTTGACTCACACATAGTTTCCCTCTGTCTGCAAAACTGTTCCCTCTCCCTGTTCCTTCTGCCTGGAAGACTCATACTCCTCCTACAGGCCCTAGATGAGATGCCAGGACCTCCAGGAAGCCTTTCTAACCATCCTCTTCTGTGTCCCCTTCATTGTGTCACCGTCTAGGCCATGGCTCTACTGTAGCCTTCTTCATAGTCAAAGGTAAACAAAGGCAAGGACAGACTTTAACCAGTGACATCCATCTGCAACAGCGAAAGGAGTCCACAGGAGCTGAACTCAACTTCGATGTGCACATGGGTGATTGGGCACTTCGAACGGAGAATAAGAGAAAAGGGAGACGAGAGGAGTAGGGGCTCAGTTGAGGCAGGGAAGTGAAAGATTACAAGAAGCAGAAAGCAGGGGTCGGTCCATTAGACACCCATCTGGTGCTTGTCCGGACTCGGGCTCCTCCCTCCCACAGAGCCTGGGACACGGGCCCGTCCTCAGGGTCGGCTGGGGACCAACAGTGAATTCCTCTGGCAGCCTTGAGTTTTCTCAGTCTTAGAGAGGCAGTCTTGAGCTGTTAGAAAATGTTAGTGTCGCCCAAGTCCTTAGAGGCTGAGGCTGCGGCCAAGCCGGGACAGGGCTCCGAGGAGCCCTGCTAGAGTTTGGTCAAGGAGAGAACCCTTGTTACCTACTGCCATCTTCCTTGCTCCTCTAACTGCGCTGCCTGCTGCAGTGAAGGGCACCCTGCCCGTCCAGGGCCCACCTGAAGCCTGGCCCATTTGGTACGAGTCTGGCCTTGCTGCAAAACAACCATCCCATCCTGGTTTGATGAATCTGAATCTATTCCATTTGGAGCTCAGTCTCTCCCTCTTTCCCTCCCTTTTTTTCTCCTTTTGCCCAATACCTGGATGCCAGCAAGGGCAGGAGTGGTTCTAAGAGAAACCCGAACACTACAAGGTAGGCCCGGAGAGGCTGCAGACTCGGCAGAAGCCGGCCTGGAACACCAGGGCCTTGGGCCAGTCTGTGCAGAGCCACTCCCAGGCCACGCAGAGTTGGCTAGGGTTCCCCCTTCTGGAAAGATCGGAAAAATACAAGTATTCCCAAAGCCAGGAGGCACAGCTCCTCCCGTGCCCTCCCAACCCCCTTAGGATCTAGGCCTTGCCATTATCCCTGCAGCCACCTTCAGGGTGTGTTCTGGGAAGAAGCAAAGGCTCCCATATGTTTAAAAGACGGGCTCCTTGTCCTCTTCCTTCTGTAGTGACCCCACTGATTGGCCCATGTCCACTGCAAACAAAGTCACGAAGGAACAAGCGATACCATGCCCGTCTCAACAGACTCAGACAGCACAGGCTCCTAACTAGTCTCGTGGACGAGAGAGCGCATGGGTTGCAGTCTCAGTCTCACCTCTTACTAGTTGCATTAACTTGTGAAGGTTATTGACTTACTCGGTTCTGAGCTGCTGGAAGATGGAAATAAGATCCGCCTCGATGCCCTAGATGCAGCCTGTGCTTTCAGAGGAGCCTGTGACTGCTCATCCCAAGGCCCACTGCCCAGCCTGCAACAGGTGCTCCGTGAGCATCAGGTGCGGAGGCTGAGGAAGGGGGAGAGGAACCCAGCAGCGCCTCGGGGGCCTGTCTGCTCAAAGGCAGTTGGGGGAGGGAGGCGAAAGAGCCTGGGAGAGAGCAGGCCTGGGTGCCGGGGAGCCTGGGCTCTGGCCCTCACTTGCCGACTTTCTTCCCCTTCCCAGACCTTAGTTGCTTTCTTCAGAACATGGTGCCCAGCTCCCGTGTCAAAACTGGGCTCTCAGAAGCTGTGGTGGGTGACGGGGTCATGCTGAAGCCCTCTCTGGCCTGTCCTGCAACGCCTCCAACTGCCTTGGGAGGAAAGTGGAGGCCTGTGGGCATGCAGGGGGAGGCGGACGGAGTCAGGGGCCAGAGGAGAGGCCTGGTCCTCCGGAGGGCATGGCAGGACCCCATCCTCAGGGACTCTGGGAGGAAGGGCCCTGGCCTGTATCCGGGGACCCGACCTCCAGCTCCATTTCTGTCACCTACGTACTGGGGCTCAGTTTCCTTCCTGAAATTGACGGTGAGGATTAGTTCTCCTGCCACGAGCAACAGCTTCCTTATCGGGTGTGGGGTGGGCACGGTGCTGTGGCATCCCCTGGTGAGCAATCAGGGCAAAGTGCCCTGGGGGCAGAGAGCCCACTTTAAACCCTTGCCCACCAGCTATGAAGCCTGGAAAACTTACTTAGCTTCTTCAAGGCTCACTTTCCTCATAAGTGAAACGGGAACAACTTTTAACAACAGTAACTCCTTAAGGTTGCTGTGGGGATGAGGGCGGTGATATGCGAAGGTGGCACTGAGGTAGGGCCTGGCATGCCAGCCACTGTGATGATGAGACTGAAGGGGTCAGGCCCAGCTTTCCTCCCAATATATGTGATTCCCTGAGAACTCATCTCTGTGCAGGTGAAGGTCGCCCGAGGGGGTGAGAGCAGGATGGCAGTCACTGGGGGAAGAAGCGCACGTGAGCACATGTGTGTGCGTGTGCACGTGCGGGCCGGCAGGAGCTGCCTGGGCCCCAGCCGGGAGCGAGGCTTGCATGGGCAGCCAGCGGAAGGGTGGCCAGCTGCCCATGGCCAGCTTCTCTGTCAGACAAAGGCCTGGGAGAGAAAGTCTCCAAAGGCTCTCCCAGCTTCCTGGTGCTGGAGTTCTAGAAGGAAAGATGGAAAAATGAAGGCTGGGAAGACCAACTAAACTTAACTGTAAAGTAATAAAGGCTGGTTTGTTCGGGGCACCTGCCGCCGAGGTGGCCCCTCCGAGCCCCGGGGCTCCGGGACTGGGCCGCCTGCTCCTTCTCTCCGGTCTTATTCTCGGGGTAAGAGCTGCCGTCATCCAGTGGAAGGACTCCATGTCCTTCTGTTCTTCCTCAAGGATCTTTACTCACGAGCCTACCTTTTAGGGGAACTGTGAGCAGAGCTTAAGGCAGCAGTAATGGGGCGGGAGAGATGTGGACACAAGGAACCCAGGGAGTCTTCTCTGCGCTTCTGAAGTCTTCCCAGAAGGAGGGTCACGGCTGGTGCAAGTTTTAGAGGATGACGCAGAGCTATGGAGCTCAACTCCCAGGAAGGGCCGAGTGTGC